TACATCTTACCATCATATTCCACATACATTATTTCATCTTTTAAATTCAATGTTTATTTTTTTACTATTTTATTTTTTACTAAATCCATTTTCTCTGCTTGTAGACTTTACAATATAATTCTTGGATTCTTAATCTTTTCTAAGTCTTCGGTGATTTGCAATATTTACATCAAAAATTATTCTTTTATGTTTTGTGGTCAAGTTCATTCTTGTATAACCTTAGTATACTTGAACGGCAAAAGGTCTATTTGTTTAGTTAGGAAAAATCTATTTGTTAATCTACTTATAAAAGATATTGACTATTCAAGTCTATTTTTAAAATGAATATTTACTATCATGAAATCATATGCCACAACAATATCAAAAGGGGGATCTCCAGCATTGTTTCTATCTTTAAATCTATGTCCACGATGTACTATCTTATATTAACCCTTATCTTTTCGGATTTGACAATTCTTAAGCTGTGTATACTTTTTGTCCTACGAGTATTGCTCGTGTAAGTTCATCCATGTTTCCAAAATTGAGTTCTACTATGTTCTTCTAATGTGTATATACACTAGTAATATTAATTATATTTTCTTTATTACAATTTTAATTAATATTATTCTATCTCAGTTCTAAGAACAACTACTTTTCCGGTTTAAGATTATGATCTATTAGTCCAACTCCATTTTTACATCGATCTTTTTCCGTATAATCAAGTTTATAACTACTATCTTCTATTTTGTTTTTTCCTTAATGACGTAGTTGCTTGTATGCATTCGATATTAACTTTTTTTCTAGTTATGGTCTCAACTAACCTGATTCATTATCTGCCAGTGTTCCTATATTTTAATTTGTTAACTTAAGTCCTGCATCCTTTGCTAATTTGTTTATCCACACTCGTCTAGATTTGATGCGACAATCCCTCCAAATTTTTAATAGCATCCAGGCAACTAAAATATGATGCCTTTAGTTCATTTTTTGTAACATCGAAGTGCAGGTGCAATTCATCGCTAAAGAGAGAGATCGTTATATTCAAACATATGTTCAGGATTGATGTTTATAAGTGATCTGATGTGTTTTAGGTTGACTGTCAGCCACCTAGGCAACCCTTCTGCTTTGTCCAGGGTTGGAGCCGCCTTTGTAGAAAATAAACATTCAACATGACACAAGTGGAGCTACATACAAAAAATCCACCCAAAAAAAAAAAGTCAGTTGTGGTCCAACATGAAGTGCAGTGTAATTCTGTCTTATATATTTTTGTGGCATATAATCTCATGATAATAAACATATATTCTGAAATTGGACATGAATATTTAATGTCCTTTCAAAGTTGATTAAATAAGAGTCAAATAGATTTTTTCTAAACAAACAAATAGATCGTTCATCATTTGAGTATAGTAAGGTTATTCAAAGAGAGAGCTTGACTGCACAACGTAAGAAAATGATTGTTGATATATGTTATCAAAAATCATTGAAGACTAAAAAGAGATTACGAATCTATGAATTATGCGGTAAAATTTAAAAGAAGGGAAAAGGGATTTATTAAAGATAAAATACTAAAAGAAGTAATATTGAATTTAGAAGACGAAACTATTGTAATGTGAAATACGATCGTACAATCGTAAAAAGCTCAGCAGTGTAATCCTGTTTTCCTTGCAGAATAGCTTTCTTTAGGTACCATCTCTTGGTGCAAAATGGTGAAGGCTCAAGCTCCAAGCATGACAATGCAGGTTGGTTTTATGGGGCAGTTACTCTGTGCAAACAATACCAAAGGTAATGCCAGTGTGTATTTCATCCATCTTAACACTCGGCGTTGGTAGACTGTCATTATTAATGGCCCATTTTGGAATTAGCAGACTCCTATTGCTTGCTACATTTTTTTAGTATGTACTGGCTAGGCGTTCAGGAATCAGAAGTGCTGTAGGCAACAAACAACTGATGAGATTAAAAAAATTTGAAGAGCATATCTATGGTGAAGCAAACATATGATTCTGCTAAAGAAATCAACCTCAGATATCATTTCAAGGTGCTGATTTTTTCGTACTGTAATGCTTTACTATACATTTTAGATAGTCATGCCGACCTAATAAATTTACTTTTATGTATCTTGCATAGTAAAGAGGTGTTTGGTGAGTTCTTTCTTTGTGTCAAAAAGGCACACGACTGTTAGGATGGGTATTTACTTGACTGATTCTTTTGTAAAGCAAACCTATGTAATTTTCTGGCTAAACATCCTTTCCCTCGCAAAAAGCCATGCCATTGCTTTAATTGTGAAGATGTAGATATTATCATTGTTGATTCATGCTACAGGCTAGCATTTTGACCTGCCACTTCTAGACCTTGTGCTGTCAACAGTGTTTATGTAATGATCAGAACTTAAAAATTTAAAATGGTTGTATCCAATGGGGGGTGATGAGTGGTAGGTGACCTTATACTGATTTTGAAAAGTCTAATTCTTATACTTGAACCCTTGATGTATAGTTTGGATGGATTAAAACTTATCAATAAATTTTATTCCTGTTTCCAAATGCTAATATTTGTTTAATACTCCACATGTTTGTCTTGCTCTAACTCGATTTATGTCCACTCTCTGTTTTAGCTTTGGTTTGAGGCACTCGGAGCTTGTTTTTTCTACATAAAGTGACGGTGGGAACTGAATACTTTTATCTTATGCAACGTGTTGGGATCTAAGATGCAATGCACCAGTACAATAACTTGAACTGATGTATGTATTGATTGGATTAATTGTTAGATTTTCCTTTGATGCGGAGAATAGAGAATATGTAAATTGAGAACTAGTTATATTGTTGTAAAAGCTAGTTCTAACAAAATTTCTGTTTTCACTGGGGAAACCACGAGTTGTTGCAAAGGAATAGTGGGATTGAAGACACATCTTGGATAAAAGTCCTTTGGCAGCATGTAGAATACTCATCAGAAATGAATTGTCAGGGATGCATGAGATGTGGGAACCTACCAAGCCATGAGTATTTTTCCTCCAGTAGTGATTCTTTTACATTTATGTTGAGCCAACAGGTATTTGGATCTGGTCCCTTTGTTTTGATCGATGCAATGGAAAGGGTGAAAAATGAGGATGCTCGACTCCAGAGAATTGAAGCAGGGTGGATAGAGGATTTAGGGATGCAATTGGAATGAGATTGTTTTTTTTTTAAAAAAAAATTACAATACAAGTCATTTAATTGTCCTCTTTCTGTTTTCGTTATTTCATTCTTTCATTTTTGTACTGAGTTTTTTGTTTTTCTAGGTGTTTGAGGAATTACTTCTAATCATAGAATGGTGATTGAGGAGAATTTTCTTTTTCTGTATCGCTTGTAAAGATAATTCATTCACAAGCAGAAACTTGGTACAAGTCTTGTACATGAGGTGCATCATCACTGGACCTCTGTGTTTGTGTGTGTGTGTGTTTTTTTGTTTTCTTTATATGAGTACTGAGAAGGGGGTTTGGAACAACAACGGATACTTTATCCGCGAACAGGCGTTGTAATTGACAATGTAACCCGTCCAGAGCTGTTATGTTTGCCGGAGTTGTTCTTAGAGGACCTTCGGACTGGAACTTGGCCTATGCAACTGACTTTTGGGGAAGATTGTTCTTGGGTTGGTTCAATCACTGGGTGGTTTCAACTTAACTTCTGGTTCTGCTTCCCACATTGCTTCTTGGAAAACTTAGCATCAATGGAGGCTGAAACTTCTGAGTCCTGCTGCCCATGGTCAACTGTTGCAACCACGCAGTTGTTAAGCTCACTTTTTTTATTTAAAAGCGGGGTTGGTAATCTCGTTTTTTCACAATAGCGGGATTGTTGACTCCGTTTTTAAAAAGTGTTATAGTTGGAGAAATAAGTTCAAAAGTGTCGTATTTTGGTAAATTTTGTTTTAAAATTGCTGCACTTTGGTAAATAACTTGAATATTTTCAGTGTCAACATGATCTAGGTTGTTTGTTATACAACTGATAGATTGTCATATGAGTATTCAGTTTCATCTGAATCCAGTTGTACACATGGGTATTAATATTTTTGACCGACACTACAATTCTAACAAAATAGCTAGCTACCTCTGAGAAAATCCATTCAATCCAAGAGAGATATCTATCTTAATTATTTTTCATCTAGAATACAAACATTTGAAAATTTCCAAAAAAAATCCAAACATACCCAAATCACTCTTCGGAAGTAAATCCAAATCAATGTTATTTAGAAATTATTATATTTACGTCGTTCTCAGTTATTGACTCGTTTAGTAAAGATGAACTTTCATTTTCTTTTGAATATTTTGTCGGGAGAGTGTTACTTTGAGTTATAAAACATTTTTAAGATTTTAATTTATATATTAAAAGATTAAAATTTTTATATTACATTCTCAAAATAAAGTTGTTTAAAACTAAAATTGAGTATAAAGATTTCTATATATTTTTGTAATATTTTGAACCCTTAAAATAGAGTAATATATGAATAATTATGTATAAAAAAAAAAACTTGAGAAATACCTGAAACATTTTGAACAAAGTAATTGAAGTCTTTGATTTTATAACATTCTGATTGAGGATTTATTTAAAATTTATAATTTTTTAAATGGTGAAGCTTTGTAAGTTAGCAATTTTTCTATCTATAAAGTATAATTCATTCTCTTTAATACTTAATATGACAGTGACACTACGTAGTTATTATTATTATAGAGTGTTCAAAATTAATTACAAATAAAAAATATTATTAAGACAATATTTAATTTATAAATTTAATTTAAAATACATTAAATTTGGACGAAAATAACGAACACACAAAACCCGAATTTTCGCCCTCGCGCTTCCTTGTTCGAAAAAACAAATTTCTTCCCCCTCCCCAACCCAATCTGCCCAGTTCGTCTTCTCTCTCCTCGCCGCCGTTAAGCGCCACCGCTGGTTAGTCGTGATCTCTTCCCCCTCCTCCCTCGTTTTCTCCTTCCTTCTTCTCTCTGCAACACGCTCGCACGCACACACCAGAGTCACACATGGTAGACATAGGCCATGAACCATGTAAGCTTGTACGTCCTTATTACTCTTTAATTCTTGCTGGTGGGAGACTCACGGCTGTCTCTGTCGAGGATCAGCCTTCGGCGCCTTCAATTCCGCCGAAATTTCTCTTTCCGGCTACCCGAAATGCTCTCATTTATGGCAGTTGTGTTTAATTTCTAAGTCGATTCAGCTCCAACGTGCGAATTGAATCGATTTCACTGTGTGTGCCTGCGTATGTATGAAAAGAAATGTGCACGCTTGTATCTTCTCTCATTGTCGGCTTTTATGTTTTTGCTTGCTGATGTTTCTGTATTATGCACTGGCAATTGTTATGTATAGAAATTTGGATCGGAGGATTGTGTTTGCATTGAAGATTTTGAATTTTGAAGCAATAGGGTGATCATTTGAAAGGGTAGCCAAAGATTGTCTTGAGCGAGGTTGATTGTGTTTACTTGGGAAAATTTATTGACTGTACATCGTTATTTTGGTCAAATTTCTGTATATTCATTCCATTTGAATCATTCATTTGTCTATCCATACGCTGGGATGGGAATGACTAATCCTGTTTTATACCAAATCAAAATTATTTTAGGAGCATCCTGAGTGCAGATTTTTTATTCTAGCTAACTGAGCAGTAAGTACTAGGTATCTATGCATATACATGAGCCGAAAGCACGCACACACACTCTGGAGAGTTCTCAAACGCTCCCAATTTCAATAATTTGGCATAAATTTTGAGTTTAGATTCAGAAATCTGAAGTTTCTTTCCTGAAATTCAATTAGGGTTTTATAATACCCTTCATATGTATACATCCTTTTTATTGATTTATGGTTTCTATTTGAAATTCTTTTTCCTGTAAATTAATGGTTGTGCTATATTTCATTCCCAGATGGAGAGCCTTTATGCCAAACTCTATGATAAGTACACTAAACTCAAGGTTTCTGCTGGCCCCCTTTCTATATAATGCGCACACAGACACGCACACATGTTTATGTTCAGGTCCTCCCAATATCAAACTTAGTCAGTTTTGGTCAAGTTTAATTCTGTGGTCCAGCTGACTCACACTCTTACTGAAATCACTAAGAGGATCGACATCCACATACACATGCTTGTGTGAGTGTGTGAATTTAGATTCCCAGTAATAGTTTCTTGAAAATTTTCACTCTCAGCAGTCAGCACACAGTATATTAGTTGTAATATAAGAAGTTGCTGTACATTGAAAGTAACCCTGCCCTTTATTTCTATCTTTTTCTTTTAGTTTATTTTCTTGTAAATAAATGGATTTATGATGTTATGTTTGTTTTTAGAGGGAAAAAGAGTCGGAAATGGAGAAGCTCAATCGTGAACAAGAAGTGAAGTTTCTGAAATATGTGTCTGGTATATGGTTCTTCACTTCTTCATCTTATGCTTATGTGCTCTCTGTGCTCTCTGTTTATGGTTAGAATTTGCTTGGAATCCTGAACCATAGGTTCCCGAGTCACTTAATATTTTAGCTTTGGGCCAAATCCGTGTGATTAGAATTTTCTTCTAAGTTTTAGTGCATATGTATTTTTTCATTACCCTTGCTTTAAAATAAACAGCATTTAAAGAAAGTGGGCTGGGGGTTGTGTAATGGGTAGGGGAGGAGGGAAGGCTCAAATTTAAGATGCAGTTTTGCAGGTTGTGTGTGGGAAGATAATTCTTTTTTGGCCATTTTTAAGTTGGCAACATTTAGGAATTGTTTGGGGAATTTGGTGGAGAAGTGTGTTAGGACCAAGGTGTCGTGAGACCAAGTGTGCCTAAAATAATTTGCATCAATTTTGTGAGCTTTTACTAGGCCTGAATGGAGTTCAATAGCTTGTTCCTTTTTTTTTTTTCTTTTTGTGATAGGAAACAAAGATTTTTTCAAATGGAAACAATTGAAAATGGATAGTAGAGTTGAACAACAACATAGCATCACGCCAAAAAGATGTTCCATGTAAATCAAAAGCTAACACTAAGAAAATGACATTCGCACATAGCAGTCCAACTTGTCATAATCCAAAAAGAGGTAGATTTGCAAACTCCTTCGAGATCAATCCCCAAAAGAAAGTGAAGAAATAGATGCGATTTCGTAACCCTTCACTTCACACTTACTCTCAAAGATTCTTGTACTTCTCTCCAACTATACCACTCATATAATGACAAACATTGCGCAATTCCAAAGAGTAATTTCGCTGCTCTTGTTCCATAAGGATTGAGCAATCGGACATTGCTATAATAGATGATCCACATTCTCGCAATTATCCCTCCTCTTAACACACCATTAAGGGAGAAGACATTTACTAGGTCTTCTCTCATTGGTGTTGGTCTTTCTGTGAGCCACAATCCAAGCACAAACTTGCACTTTCAAAAGCATCTTAGCATTTCAAATTTTTAGAGATATGGAGAAAAAATTTGGAGAGAAGAATTTTCAATCAAGAATCAAAAAAATATTTGGAAGAGAACAATCCTATTGAGTCAATAACCTAACTTTTTTTTTATCCAAATCCAAAGAGTTAGAATGTAAAGTTGTACCTCCAAGCAAAGAAAGAAGTGAGCCCAATTCCACACTTTCTCTATCATTAAGACTTCTATGAAATCCAAAATTTCAAGACATCGAATTAGAATAAGAACTAATCATTGAAGCAATACGAGCATCATGGAAGCGGAAAAGATTATAGAGATGAGGATATGAACAAGCTAATGATGAATCTCCAATGCCAAATTCCTCTCAAAAACCGACTCTCTCTCTATTACCCACAACAAATTTAACCTTTTCAGAAAAATGTTGTAATCATTGAGAAATGAACTTCCATGGGTTTCGAAAACTATCCCTTTCAACCCCTTTAGCATTCCACTCATTGGTCTACAAACTATATTTGCTCCTAATGACCAAATGTCACAATGAATTTTGCTTCAACAAAAACCTCCAAAAACCAAAGCTATATTCCTAGTCTTCAAGTTACCCATCGCAAGACCACTTTTAACTCTAGGTCTAGACATAACATCCCACTTAATCAAATGATCTTTCCTACCTTCATCGGTACCTTCTCATAAAAAATATGTCATCATCCCTTCAATCCTCCTTGCCACCAAAGAAGAGATTTTAAAAAGAGACAATAAATAAATAGGAAGGCTAGTCAACATTGACTGAACTAAAATAAACTTTCCATCTCTAGATATGAATGTTTTCTTCCAACCATTCAATATTTTCTCAATTTTTCCAACAATCGGATCCCAAAACCCCAATGCTAAAGAGTTACCCCCTAAAGAAAACCCCAAGTACTTAGGGGCCAATCTCCCACCCGGCATCCCAACGAATAGGCAACCTTGTAATTTTCTATTGGCTTGAATTAATTCAAACAATTACAATCTTATCCATATTGACTTTAAGCCCATACATTATGCCAAACACTTCAAGAATCTTCTTAAGATTCAAGAATTTCTATTCATCCCCTGAGGAAAAAAATCGTATCATCAATAAATTGCAAGGGAGACACTGTGACTCTCTGCCAATTATAAGTCCCTCCACAAGATTATATCTCTCTGCTCTCATTATTAACTTACTCAATCCATCCACTACCCATGTAAACAAAGGAGATAATGGATCCCAATGTCTAATTCCCCTCGATGCCTCAAACTTCCCCTTTGGTTTGCCATTTAACATAATTGAGAAATCCATAGACTGCATGCATCTTCTGATCCACTTTCTCCATCTACCACCAGAGCCTTTCGCTTTCAATACAAACTCCAAGAAATTCCAATCCACATGGTTATAAGCCTTTTCAAAATCAATTTTCAGCATAATGCCCATTACACCTCTAGATCTATAATCTTCAACTCTCTCATTCGTCACAAAAGCCACATCCAAAATCCATCTCCCTCTAAGCAAAAAGGCCTTTGAAATTTTGAAACAGTATCACTCAAACTCTCTCTAAGTCTCACTGATACCACTTTCGCAATGATCTTATAAAGGCTAGTAACAAGACTAATTGGTCTAAAATCCTTAGTCTTTAGTGAACTCTCTTTTTTTGGAATGAGACAGATAAAAGTGGCATTAGTAATATCATTCACCAGAATCACCACGACATTACAATAAAGTTCATCAAAAACTTTCAATAAATCACCTTTCACCACCTCCCAACACTCTTGAAAGATTGCCATAGTATACCCATCCAGGCCAAGTGCCTTATCTTTACTACACTCAAAGATAGCTTTTTTTGATTTCATTCTCCTCAAAAGGTCTTTCCAACCAACGTGCTTGTGTCTCTCCATGCGTTTCCCCATTAGGACACGAATCTAATCCTACTAACCTAGGTCTAGAACTCAATAGATTGTTATGATAAGTTAGAAGAAAACTTACATAAGATTACAAGTTGTACCTTAGGAATTTTATATGACATATATCTTCTTTTTCTTTGTGAGCTATCTAAATACTTTAAGTGTTTCACAAAGCCATACTTTCTTCCAAGGCGTAAGTATTCAGAATATTCCTTTATTCTGTGATGCAGCTGCAGATGAAATGATAGAATATTTAAGAGGTGAAAATGACACGTTGCGTGCACAAGTCAATGATTTGAGAAGTGAAGTGGCCTCAGTAAGGCAAGTTGGTTTAGAGAAGCACTTACGTTTGTTGAATGTCCTGAACTCAAATATAAAGGACATGTCATTTTGGTTGCAGATCTACAAAGGATGAACAACATGCTGAGTATCAAAAGCTTTTGATACAAGAGAACCAGAGGAGTAAGAATTAATTATTGTATGGTAGTAAGAAGTAATTGCTCAATGTTTTGTCTTATACTAGCTTAACTATTAAAGTTCTTGTGAAGCATTCATAATCATATATTTGCATGTAATTATTGTTCAATGTTAACTCTGATCTAAGCTCAACGATTGTATCCTTCACTTTCTTGGTCTGCCCATCCTAGGTCAGATCAAGAGTGCATGTCAATTGTAGAACATGAATAGGGTGGGTACTTGTGAATTTTCTGATGTAACTTTGTGGACACCTGTGGTTGTTGCAGGCTAAAGAAACAGAGAACTGAGCTGTTTAAGTTTTCTTAGCATGTGGAATTGCAATTTAAGATTGCAATTATATCATGAAAGACACCTTCAATCTACAAATCAAATAGACATTATAACCTGTGCTAATTTTCCATAAAAAATTGAACTAATTGAATTTGATGTGAACTATAGTGGGGTGATCCAAAACTGATCTGACGGACAAAAATCGTGATATGATCTAATCAGAAGATGGAAGAAATCAAAGTGTATTTAAATCCAAGTATGATATTCCCTCCGTCCCAAAAAAAAATGTTTTTCTTTTCTTTTTCAGATGTCCTATTGAAATAGCCCATTTTAAAAAGTCAATATGCTGGAAATTTTAATTTCCTTAAATACTCTTTTTGAGGAATAGTTATGAAAGTGTATGATGTAGGAAAATTAGTTGTCTCTTCCATATCAACCTTAGGTTTCTTGATTTTGCTAAGCCTCTTTTCCTATAAATAATGTTGCATACCGCAAGTTTTAGGAATTAGCGGTAACGATCAATAAGATGTCAGATAAGTTTTTTATCGTATACTTTCTTGTGGATTCAAGGTTTACATCATATTATCTAGTGGATTGGGGTTTTGTGTGACTGTTCTTGCATTAAAAAACTTTTTTTGTCCGTCTCATCATTGCCACTATCAAATGGTATAAGAGCCCTGCTAACGTGGTGTGATGGCTAATCATCAAAATGATGAAAACCTGCAGTTCAAATTATTGCCAATCGTCCTGACAGTGATGTTTTTAAGTTCGTTTGCCTCCATTATTTAGCGGCTTAAATTTGTTGCAGATAAAGAGCTTTCGGAAGAAATTGAAAGACTCCGTAACCTACAACGAGAAGGACTATGTTGCAGTGCAAGGGTTGCCAATACTGAAAGTAGACAATTGAATACACCCGGGGGTGTTCAAGTTGGATCAGATGCATCCAGTGGCTTAGACATAGCAACAAGAAAACGTACCAGAAGTTCTAGGACCGAGACAGAAATGAAGAAACGTAGCAGACATTCTATGATTGAGACTGATGTTACAGTTACTCCTAGTACTATTGATGAACCTGACAACATGCCAGTAACAGATCCATTAGACAAATTACGCAAGCAAAACATGTCCAGTAGTGCTCTTTTGAATATAAATCTGGTACATATGGTAAGCCATCACATTTTAATGTGATAACATTTTTTTTTTTTTCTGACTTTTTTTTTTTGGTGTAAATATGAAGCCTGAATGCTGTAGGAGAACAATTGACGATTCCGGTACGTTTCAAAATTCTAATTTTGCATTCACTCCACTAGGTAACATGTCCTGTATATAATCAATATTCCATGGGTTGTTTAGGTGATGATGCACAATTCACTGGTCCTACCAAGTGCATGTTTCAAGATCTTGTTGAGTGCTTAATTGGAATGAAATTATCCACTGTCAGTCAAGAAGATGAAATCTGTATATCGGCCCTTCATCAATCCAGTGGTAATTTTTCAGTTTGAGTTGATGTGGTTTCTTGAACCCTGGTGACTAGCACACATTTTCACAATTCTCTTCTGTGGCATATTAATATAGTTGTATTATGTGAATATTTGGACTACTCATTAAGTGTTTCTGCAACAGATGTCGGGTCTCTTTTAACTTTCCAACATAGCTTTTATAGCAAAGTCCATTTTATCCCTCCTGATTTGGTCCTGCAGCACTTCACCCCCGTCGTTACAAAATATCCACAAAACACTCTGAATTTGATGCAATAGTCATAATTTATATTGAATGACGGAAATTGTGGTGCATGCATCTGATTAGTGAGTTGGTATGAACCAAGCATGTTTTTTGCTTAAATTTAAACCGTAGAAAGACAGAAATTCCTTACAATTCATGTGAAAGACAAAAACACGCATTTTCTTCTTTCTCTTGCTCCTCCTCCTTCCTGCAGTTTTTGTTTTTGAACTTATGAATGGCCCTGACTCATTTTGGGCACAACAAGTCTAGAGACTGGTCTTTCTTAGAACCAATTCAGCGATCCTGTGAGTTAGAAAAATTAAGGAGCGAAAGCGGGTATCAAGTTCATTTTACTAGTGTCGCTAATGGTGGTAGTTATTCAGATTGATCGAAAATCACAAGAGTGTTGTGTGAGTATATTTGAATTATAGGGAGGTGAAGTGCTAAAGGGCCAAACCATAGAGGTATTACATGGAATTTTACCCTAAATTTTATGTCTCTTTTGCCCCTTCAAAACTGATTGGCATTCAGGAGTTATACGTATATCATTCTCTTGCTGCATGAAAGCTTGGATGGCTAGAGATCTGGCATCATTGCACCAATTAATAAAGATTAATCTTCATAAAGAAGATGGCTTGTCTGTATAGATGAAATATGGTTCATTAATAAATGTTTGTTTCTTATCAAAAAGTAGATGAAATTATGGTTTTTAACCACTTAATGGATAATTGATTTGGTAATCGTAAAAATTCTGAGGACAGCAGATGTACTTTTGCTAGGCACAGAACTGATTTTATAAAACGAATGGTGTTATAGTCAAAGCCAATATACTAGTACGTGTCTGTTTCTCTTGGAACTAATGTACCACAACTTGCAATAGATAAGCTCATATGGCCTCTTTGATATATGACTCTTGAAGTTTCTTGTCTGACTGATAGTGATTGATACTAGGGCTGGTAATGGGTTGTATTAAATCGTGTTCGTGTTGCGAGTAAATTGTGTCATTTCAAAACTTGTGCAATTCGTAGTCAATGCATTTATTGTTGTGTTTGTGTCATTTTTGGGTTTGTATCAACCTGTTTATTAAACGGGTCTAGTACCCGATCATTTACAGCCAAACTCATGCCCGCCAATTCCGAATTAATTTCCGATAACTAACTATATAAGATTGATGAGTCTGTTGATAACTATTAGATCTTAATTGGTGGTACGTCTAATCTTTAATGTGGTAGAACCTTTTGGAATATGTATGTCTGCATTTCTATTGGTTATTGTTTGCCAAAAAATAACTACTTTGTTTTAAGCATCTAATTGCAGGATGTTATGATTGTGGTTGTTTCAGGTTATTCTTTCAGTTTAACATGGATAAAAAACTCATTCGGAGAAACAGAGTTGCTATACCGTGTGTCATCTCTGGGGACATTTGAGAGAGTGGCACCCGAGTGGATGAGGGAAGTCCTGATGTTCAGCACCAGCATGTGCCCTATTTTCTTTGAGAGGGTATCCCGTGTTGTAAAATTTTCTCATTGACATTTTATTGTGTTTTTATTCTCTGCTAACAGAACTTAAATTTCAGACTACTGAGCATGTATGCTCATATGCTCTTTTCTTTAAGCTGCAATATTCCCAGATGTTAAACTGCAATCTGTATATCTGAGTACTATGACATGGAATAATTTTCCAAGTTTAATTTGGGGTGTCCAAAGTAATGGCGTCGAACTTTGAGAGACGGTCTGTAATTTCCTGTTTCCTTTGAATGGGGTTTGGACCTGTTTCTTAAGATTGTCAAGTCATACCGAGTGTACAAGATTTCCGTTTGTAGCAGCGTGAGAGAGAGTAAGTGGCAGGTAGTCTTTTTCCCATTGTGGAGGAGATTGATTTGTGATTAAGATAAATCTCCTAACGAACTGATTGCGTGAATGAATATTTACCATTGTTCTATATCCACTGTTATTGTGGCTCCCGGATTTTGATATTCTGTAACAGAGTTTTTCATAGTTTCTCATAGTAACAGAATATTTATTATGAATTTAAAGGAGACTCTTTATACATAGATCGGTCTCCCTCTAATAATAGAGTGGCTGGTTTAACACTTTGAGAGAAATTGAAAGAAAATAACATAGAGAAATACCCTCGGACATGGCTCGATTGTCTAGACTTGGTCACGTTGAAATAAGAGACTCAGAGCCACCTGGTTCGGTTTATAACTTAATTTTGAGATCTAACTAATTTTCAAGAAATTAAAATTGATTTATTTAAATTAATTTTTTATCTAAATAAACATTACGTGATAAATTTATAGTAAAAAAATTATTAGCCATGTAGACATTACTTGTGAAATTATATAGAATATATTAATATTGAAAGATTATATAGAAATATATTAATATTTCAAGAATTAAAATAAAATAAATTTTATGCTTTGGAGGTTCCTAATGTAATTACCAGATATTTGAAAATATTTCAATGAGGTATCCTAACATTTAAAAAATTCTAACTACACCCCAAATTTATTTAACATTTGTGTTGAACCTTCCCCTAGAAGCTCTATACACACCCACGCACAGTTCTGCTTTGCTACGCTCGAACTCAGTTCTGTGTAATGGCCGCAGAAAACAAATCTAAGTCGAACAACGGCTCCAAGAACAACAACAAGAGGAGGAATCGCTACCTCCCCCACAACGTAACTCTCTCTCTCTCTCTGTATATGTATATCTGTGTGTATATGTGTTTTAAATTGCCGTTGCTAATGCTTTTTTCTTGTTGTTTCAGAAACCTGTGAAGAAGGGTTCGTACCCATTGCACCCAGGAGTGCAAGGGTTCTTTATCACTTGCGATGGTGGAAGAGAACTCCAAGCTTCTCGTGAAGCCATTAACGTTATTGAGGATGTATGTGTTGTTCACTTTCTTTTTTATCAACCCACAAACTCAAATTTCCATACGTTTACACACACACGCACAGACTATTTGTGTTTATGCAATTGGTTTCATATACTTGTTAGTGCTCTATGTAGTTATCATTTTTATTTTCCTGTGAACGTGAATTAGGATTAATTGTTTTTTCTATTCAAGTTCTCTACATATGTGTCAACTGTATAGGTATGCCGTGGCAGCTTGAGGAGTTTTTTCCACCAGGGTTGAGTTGCATCAAACTCAACCTCATTTTCTGTATATATATCGCAGTATAACTAAATTGAGTCATGAACTCCTGCCAATTTGAAATAGATAAAATAGGATACTCAACCCATAGCTGTTCTTGAACCCCTGGGGTGGTGGATGAGTAAAATTCGAACCAGTAATTTCGTGGTGGTTGTCTGATATGTTGGTAATTTTTGTATGGATCTGACGCAAAACTCTTGGAACTAGGTCCAAGTAGAAATAAACATTAAACTATATGGGTTTATAAACTAAAAACATTGAGGAAATTGTGCACTTACCTCAATCCTCTACCAATTAGAAGCGACAGATATTTCTTACCACAAATAAAGTACAAGCTTGGGTTTAGGCACATACTAAGTCTCAACTAGACTGAGAGATAAGGAGATTCAGCTGGGATATCGTAATAGACCGAGAAATATAGGGGTTTGGCGGTGGGATATGTTTGTAGGATTAAGATTGAGAATGGTTTAAAATCAGGCGACAGGGCATTTAGGAACACTGCTCTTATGGGCAAAAAGTTGTGGAGTTCCCTAGACCGAATGATTCACTTCGACCTCGGAGGAGCAAGTATTCTTTTCTGGGGAATGAGTGAGGCACAAATTTGTTATTTGGGAGACCCACCTTTGTCCTTGGAAAGCCATTGCTCAGGATATTGTATTCTTTTAGGCCATCCTAGATTCAACATGGGAGATATCTAGTTGAATCTTTGGTGTTTCTTTTCTAAAATTTCAGGTTCAGGTCAAAAATCTGTTTCAATGTTTTCTCAGCGAATGATTCAATTCGATCTCGGAGCAGCAAGTATTCTTTTCAGGGGAATGAGTGAGTTGTTATTTGGGAGACCCACCTTTGTCCTTGGAAATCCATTGCTCAGGATATTGTATTCTTTTAGGCCATCCTAGATTCAACATGGGAGATATCTAGTTGAACATTTGGTGTTTCTTTTCTAAAATTTCAGGTTCAGGTCAAAAATCTGTTTCAATATTTTCTCAGTTGTTTGAAATTTAAAGTCCTGTAGTTTTATGGTTTTCGTGGTTGTGGTTTTTATAGAAAAAGGAGCCATAAAAGGGGGTGAAAGAGCTTATTGCAACCTTAAACTTCGTTGATTTATTCCTGATTCGTATAGGAGGAGATTAGAACATTTTGTTTGCAGGAAACTATATATTGTTGAATGTTTTAGAAAGATTGACGGACTGAGAGAACAAAGTGGGTTAAAGGCCAAGAAGAGGGGAGGAAGCGAATAATGTTTTAGAGGTTCAAGATTCTGAGGGATCTTTTGTTAGGATGCAAACTAGCCCCTTAACTTTGTCCAATTGCTGGAAAAGTATGTGAGAAGTGACTCTTTACAAAACTGAGCCGAAATGTTGGAAGTATAGATATTAGCCTAAATTATGATGTCACCCCTGGACATTTGCTAAGCTATTTGGCTACTCTAGTTATTTCGATGTTAGAACGACTACACTTTATTTTTGAAAAATTGTAACAATATAAACCCCTCCGTCACAGGAGAACATAACATCACAAAAAATAATGCTGTAAATTGCAAAAATGTCCCTGTTATTTGTGGTGGGAACAATTAATCAAGTTTCCAAACTAGTTCATTACATGGACAAAATTAGCACAATAGCCAAGCACCCGCTTTTCTTCTTCTTTGCCCTCTCTCTCTATATATTATACACACATGGCTAAACTACCACCACCCAATTTAATTTAAACCACATTTTTATAAGTTGATGGAATTAGGTATGTATATGTTTCATATGTTGCGTATGTTCAATCTCTAGACCATAGCAATATTGCATCTTTTTGTTATTGTGTTTTTTGGATTATATATATGTATAGATCATACAAAAACATTTTTCTTTGATTTTCAGATTGATTTTTTGGGTCTTCGGTTTTTTGGGTGGGGCTTTAGGAATGTGGGGGTGCGGATAGGGTTGTGGGGTCAGCTGGGGAAGAGGGTCCCGTGAGGCTTCCATTTTTAAGGGGGGTGTCAGGGGTTGAGGTTTTTCTTGGGGGGGTGTCTAGAGCTCAACCATTCTCTTTTGCTTTCCTTTTGGGACATTGATCTTCTAAAGGAAACTTGATACCACATTTATGGTGGCAAACTGGGTAAACTATAACCACTAATAATGTATGTTCTTTTTTTTTTTCGCCATTGTGTTCACACCACCATGCTATTACTCATGTGCATTTCGGTGGGTTTTTCTTGAGGGAATGGCACTATGTGTGGGTTAGAAATGTTGTCTAACATGACATTGATATGTATTTTTTCCTGTAGTTTATTTGATGATAATGATATATTGGTAAATATTTTGATGATTATGTTAGTTTTAATCAAGGAGTTGTTTATCGTTTTCCTTTTTTCTGTTCTTTTTTTTTTTTTTGATTCGTTTTTCCCACAGTGGCAGATCAGTATTCAGCTTTGCATATTTATAGTTCATGCTTAGTTAGTATGAACCCTGTGTAGCACTTCCATTTTTGGTGGCAAGCGCTACCTATGTTTTTTTTTCTTATGATTTTGGTTGTGTATAAGCTATTAAAATAGCCGCCTGAATTTAGCTTGGCTATTCAAGTGTTCAACTTGAATGCAAAATATCAATTACATCATTCGCTCCCCTTTATATCTCTTTGTGCACGTGTCTATATATATCCACATATCTATCTGTTTTTGGATCAGGTGGAACTGAATTGAGTCACTGTTTTGTTTTGTCTGTTTTCTGCGGCAGTTTTATGAAGAGTTAGTCCATGGGCGGGGTTCAGACTTGAAACATTCAGAGATATCAAATATTCCCTTGAATAAAAAAACTAAATTCATGTATTCTGATTCTTCTAGTAGTGATGATAATGATGAAGAAGATGATAATCAGAACGATGAAAAGGACATCCAAAAGAAGGACAAGGAGGATATCAATCATGTAAGTTTAACAAATGATAATCAGAGGGATGATAGGGGCCATGACGCCAATAATGTAAGTTCAACCAACGAAAAGTCAGATCCTTGTGAAAAGGATGATGAGTGCTGTGAGAATGAAATAAAAGAAAATACGTACTGTAATAAGGAGGAAGCCCAGTATCATGAAAAACAAGAAGCTGAAGCTGAGGAGCCGCCAGCAAAGAAAGCTGAAGCCGAGGAGCCACCAGCAAAGAAACAATGCCTAGAAACAGATGCATCAAAATGTGGAAAAGTCGTCGGTCAAAAAATAGAGGAGAAGTCTGTTGATAAGTTAATTGAAGCCGAACTCGCTGAGTTGGGAGACAGGAGCAAGGTGAGTCAATAACAGGCACTTAATTATACAAGTTTTTGATTCTTTTCTTATACGTAGAATGGTTGGATTCCAAGCTGGGATCTTTTTCTTATATTCTTCAGCTGCCATTCTGTATTTTAACAATCTATTTCTAGTTATCCTCATGGAATTTCTGGAGTTCATTTGCAGTATTTGTACTGAAAAAATGTGGGGGTTTCATTCTATTTCAATATGTACTAGTATTTGCTGATCTTTTTGTTTTAAAAGTAAATAAAGGGCAGTTTCATCAAGGGACACTAGGGAAGCATCTCCTAGTACATAGCCATATAAACTAAGATGACCCCATTTTATATTTGTACATTGTTGAACAAGTGTGCCTCCAATTGGCTTCCTTTTTTAAAAAAATTGTACTTAAAAAGTTCTAAATGTTATGAAAATAGTGTTGGCACTATGGTTTTAATTTATTAACGTGTGTTTTAGGTTGACGCCATTGCGAAATTTCCTGGCTCCGTGATAATGACAAATCCTTCCTAAACTTAGTTCTTATCTGGATTTGATTAATGCTTATCAAACCCATCTTTTCCTGAATGATTAGGAGTACTGGTTGGCATGAGTTTACACAAGAATTATACTGATTTGCTGAATTAATCCTCCATGTTTTTCTTCCAGATTATGAACATTTGGTTTCTAATTAGTAGCTCTAGTTTGCTTACTTATGTTTCATGGGCTGTTTTGTTGAATTGTCTGTTAAATATGACCACACTTATATCTTTCTTTTATCTCACAATCTTGGTGGAAAACATTCATTGCTAGTTCTCATGGAGGATTGAAGTCTCTACCTTTTTTCAGCACCCCAATTATCCTTTCTATGTGACCTCATGTCATATATTTGGACTCCCCTTTCCAAGTGTGACATATTGTAATCCATTTGGTGTGCACTATCAGACTGTGGTGTATGCTTGTGAAATTTCCGCTTATCTGGTTACATGCTCCTTTCCTGGTTGTGGCTCGAATTTTCTGTTTCAGTGACATTCTGTTGTCTTTCTGAGCAGAGGCGTTTTAGCAACCTTGATTCTGGTTGCAATGGTGTTGTCTTTATCCAAATGCGTAAGGGAGATGAATACCCCGGCCCCAACAATATCGTTCAACACATGATGACTTCTGTTGCCGCGACAAAGAAACACATGTCAAGGTTCATTTCTCACTTCTTTCTAATTCATTAGTTCTCAATGTGAATAGAGGTTTTTCCAGGTTCATGTATATTGGTTTCATTGTTCAGTCTCCAGCGGCTAAAGTATGTCATGGCTTTCAACAGGTTTATGTTAAGAGTGCTACCTATTGAAGTGACTTGCTATGCATCAGGGGATGAAATTGCAACGGCCATTAAACCTCTCATTGCACGATACTTTCCTGTAGAGACTGAGACACCACTTAAGGTACCATAATTAACTTTTCATCTCTTGGGTTTATCAATGGTACTAAATGATTTTCATTATTTTTAAGTGAACATATTATAACAAAAGAAGCCAAATGAAAAAAATGAATAAGCTCCACAAATGGTATTGCGGTTTCTGAGAAATTTGTTTTACAATCGCCAGAAAAAAATTTCCTTGATTTGCCTAGGATCGATAACCCCAAATTAGTTACGATTTGCGGAAACGGACCCCAAGTGTTGTATTTTGTAAGGGTGTTAGCAGTAACTACTTCAAAATCCAGACGCAGCCACTTGACAAAAAATGTGTTTATTTATGAATAATATCTTAGTAAACAAGTGTTAACGCTTATATGCATGCTGAAGAACAATAAGAACTGAAACAATGATGCAACTAATGATATATATTTCAGATTCCTTTTCAATAGGGGAATGGTTCTTGTGCTTCTAAATACTCTTTTAGGACATTTAGAGACCTATAACTGGCTGCTGCCAGTAATGTTTTGTGTACTTTGTGATCTGTTGCATGGGATGAATCTAATTTCTTGCTTAATTATGCTCTTTCAGTTTGCAGTTCTGTATGATGCCCGCGCAAATACTGGTATTGATAGAATGAAAATCATTGACACCGTTGCAAAATCTGTTACTGGACCCCACAAAGTCGATCTCAACAACCCAGATATTCACATAGTGGTTCAAATTTGCAAGGTAAGAAAGTGCTTTTCTATATTGCTTGTGTATAATGCAACCAGTTTTGTATTTGAGCTGATGTTTCCCTATATAACAGTACTGCACACAAGTAACAACCACTATTGGTGAATTTTTAAAAACTGTGTCCCAGCCACTAAAGCACCCCACCTGGCTACCCCAGGTCTCAAAGATTGAGTTGCTATCCCAGCTCGTTTTGGTAGTTACCTTTTTCCGATAAATGTGGGAAATACCCGTAGGTAGGAGTGTCAAACGTGTCAGGTTGGGTCATTTTGTGTTGGGTTAATTTTAAGTTTGTGTCGAAAATCTAAAAACTCAAACCTTACATATTTAATAATCATGTCGAAATGTGTAAGCACTAATTTGACCTGACCATTAAATGGGTTATCCAAACCTGACCTATTTGACACGTTTAATAAATATGTCGTTTTCGAGTTAGCACACATAAGATTATCTTATTATATTCGGATTAACACATATAACATGATCTGTTTAACTTGTTTAGCACACATAACATAGACTTGTTTGACACACATAACTTGTTTACGCACCAGTTTATTACCATTAAATACATCATTCAAAATTTCAAATAATTTTTTTACAAATAACATATCACATTTCATCAATGAAATTAACTAAAATGCATTTAAGTTTGAACCTAAAAATTAAAGCAAGAACTATACTAGTATACTGTTATAATAATGTTAAGAACTATACTGCCAATTATCATAGTAAAAATCAGAACTAATAAGTAATAATGTTAATACCACATCAGTCATATATAATAGGTAAATTATATTGTCATAAACGGTTCTACAATGAGTTAAGTCGAGTTCGTGTCCGAATCATGTCAATCCGTTTAAAATATGCGGGTGACTTTGGTCAAAATTGAGTTGTCTTGATTTTGACAGGAACTCGACATGATTTTTTTTTTTTTTGTTTTCAAGCATGTTGACCCGTTTTAACCCATTAATTTGTTTAATTTTGTGTTCGACCCATTAATTTCGTGTTCAGTTCATGTCGTGTTGAAAATTGACAGCGCTACCTGTAGGTACCTTAACCTATGACTTGGAATTTGCTAGCCACCGAATAATAAAAAAAAATTGCCGGGCATGGCACTAAATATGTGGCCATGCATGGCCCTCCAAAAAAGTTAGGTCGAAAATGCCTCATAGGGAGTCAGAAGTAAGCAGAGTCCAAAGGCAGGTCAAAATCACATAAGCGGAGGGAAGACACATTCATGAAAACCGAGAAGCCGTGCCGTGGGGAACTAACCAACTATGAATAGATCTTACTTACGGGTAAGAGTAGGAACATCTATTAGTCCGTATCGTTAGTCTCCCCTCCCCTCCCTCCCCCCCCCCCTCCCTTCTCCCTTTTTCCCTCCTTCCCTCCCTCGTGGTGCATTCTAATGAGTCTTTTTCATATAAAATATTTTTTTACCAGCTTTTTAGCATTCCTTCTCAATTTTCTGGTTAATTTACTTTGTAATGATTGAAAAGATCCATAAAACATGTAATTTGAAAGAACTTGACAATTGGGAAACAGCTACAGCAAGTCAATATGCATAGCAAATCTGCCTGTCAATGTGATTTGAATATTGTTATACACATGCTACCTTTCCTTTGGGCAATCTTCTGCTAAAAAAAAAAAAAGGGATGAGAGTAATGGCTATTATTACTTCTGTATTGCATCAGAAAAAATCTCACTTATCTTGTATATAGGTTGAGGCCTCATGTATTAAGTTTCTGTACACAGTCTAACAACTAGTTGGGAGCAACTTTTGCAGGAATTTTTGAGTAATCTGAGACTCTGCCATACAAAATTCACATCATATATTAAGTATGCTATGCCATTTCATTTCAAAATTTTATTTGAGCTTCTTAATCTTGTGGTGGACAGAGTATACAAGTAAAAATAGGATCAGTGGCATGGTTTGAATTTTATATTGTGCAGGATAAAAATAGATCACAACTATGCTTTCAAGAGTGGTATTCACGCCAGTCTTTGGGCCTCAGTCCTGTTGGACTATGCTTCTCTGTTTTCCATCATTTGAAGCTGTTAAAAATCTGTTGTCGCAAATAGAAATTGTTTTGGAAACTGCTTACAAGATTCACAAGTTGCAGGAAAAACCATTTGTGCAGCCCAAGAAGCCATGTAAGAGAATTAAGTAGTAATGGAAACTCAAGAAATAACAATGATAATCCCATAGATTCTTGATAATTCCAGGTATGATATGTATATTTCTTGGACAAGGTCACCTGGTAAGCACCCAACCATTGTTGTGAAAGGCACAAGGCTGGGCCTTAGGCACCTAAAGCTCCTCAATGGGCCTCAAGCGGGGCGACTTTGCTGAGGCACAATTGAGGTGCCCCATTGTTGTGAAAGGCACAAGGCTGGGCCTTAGGCACCTAAAGCTCCTCAATGGGCCTCAAGCGGGGCGACTTTGCTGAGGCACAATTGAGGTGTTGGGGCATGTGCCTCAGGCTCAAGTCTGAGGTGCATGAAGCATGGGGTTTTTTTCCTATCCATGATATATTTTGGGATATTCACTCTTGTTAACTTGAAAGAATTAACACAATATTAGAGAAAGACAGAGAGTGGTTAAAACTTAACCTAGCTCTTATACATCACTTATATTTATAGTTAACTTAGAATAACAAGAATTACACATACACCCTCTTGTATTTACATATAATACCCTAATACTCTTAACAACTCTGATTGGAATTTGTACTATTCATTATATCATGTTAGAGCTGTCTTTCCATCCCTTCTTCTTCTACCTGTAACATATACATCGTCGTCTTTGTAATTTTTATTTTCTGTCATGAATTTCTGCTGTAAGAAGACTTATCATGTCTGTATGCACACCCTTGTTCTTCTTATTTGATATCTGTCTAGTGAATCTGTACTATTATTTGTTGATTTTTATTGCTTTAGATGCTGTTCATTTTTTTTTCTTCTAGTTTTAGTCCTTTTTTATCTTGGTAATCTGTTACAATGTTACTTTTTTTATCTCACTCAATGTTACTGTTTAATTGTGTATGACTGTTTTTGGTTAGATCCTCGAACTTAATTGCTTAGCCTGTTTAAATGTGTTTTTGATTGGATTTGGATCCTTGAACTGTTTAATTGATTTAGTAGGGACTTGTAATTTTTATGACTTAACTTCGATTGAGAAAAATTCTGACGTTAAACTATTTGCTTTTTATTGACAACATCCACTTTGCTTTGATGAATCTCACACTACTCTTAAACTCCAGTGAGTCCTTGGCTCTTCGGTGTGCCTTTCCTCTAATAATATTGCACCCAACTGGAATTGGGCTCTAGACCTTTGCTAATTGGTTTACATTAAAATTTGGATAATGCTGCGTCTTAGCAGTTCTTCAACCCTGCAGCCCTGACATTTATTCAAAACTAATGAGTGGAGAGGCCTCTAAAGCTCATATACTGGTTTAGGAGATGTTATTTTATTGATGTAAGACAAGTTCAAATAGTACTCTGCATGTTCAACCCCACCAGCATGTGGAGAGCTAAATCAAAGAATAAGAAAACATAGTCAGAGACGTAACAAGTTCACTTATGACAAGAACAATGGGGAATCAATTATTAAATTGATGAAATTGAGTTATGGAGTCTTGCTCAGTCCCTTTTGAAACCAATTACCAAATCACCCACACAACTTTAATATGATGTTCAAACACCCAACTTAAAAGTAGCATTTGTTGAAGAAGCCACTCAACCATATAAATCATTTTAGGTGGGACAGAAACTCTCTTTCACATCCATCCTTAAATGGGGCTAGGGTTTCGTACGTGTTAACAGAACAAACAGGAGCAGATAGACAATTTGGAGGACTCAAATAGGTGAGAGACTTGACTTACTAACCAACCAAGACTCAGATGGCAATGAGTGGTGAGGCCCCCAAGTTTCATATTCTAGTTGGAGGATGCTATTTGATCAGTGGGGGACAATCTTTAAGAAGCATCAGAAATTGTTAAGGTGGGATGAGCATTAAAATATCACTTGGACTGATAAGTAAAAATGATTCAGGTGGGGCTGACATATAGTTGCTCAAGATGTTTTAAGCCTTCAATTATTAAAGGTTCTCACTATGTTGTGAAGCTTCATGATAGGTACTCATACCATAAACTTGCCTATTATCCAACAAGCATCAGAAATTCATGACCTAGTTATTCGTGTTCTTCTCAATCATGATTGTTTGCTTTGATCAAAACTTGAGACACTGGAATTATACACGTGGTGGGTTTCTGTGTGTCTCAGTTTTCATCCTTGGGACATGGAAACACTGGAATGAAAGATTCAATTTATTCACTCTTACAGTGGAAGGCTGAATTCAGAGCTATGCCAGATAGCATATTTGACACTAGCTGCTTCAAATATTTAAATATCTTCTTGTGTGAGAACAAAAGTATGCTGTCCATGCACATTATTATGTCCAACAAAAATGCTTCATTTAACTACCCATGAAGCTGGGGTCTATTGGGTTACATTGGTGTCATTACCAAGCTAAATGTTGTTTCTATGGAAATGTTTAGTTTTATAGCTGCAAAATTGGTGTCATTTTCATGCATACACACTACCCTTCCTGCAAAAAAAGGGAAAAAAACAAAATGGAAAAACAATATTCTGATAGATTTTTGGTTTACAATTTCATATAGCAACACACTATTTGTATTTTTTTAGAAATTGACTATTGTGATAAGGAGGTTGCTGCTAGTCTTTGTGTTTGTATCTGATCAAATTTTCGAAACATGACAATTAGGTGACAGTTCAGTAAGCTGATAAGACCTTATATCATGTAAAGTCGTTAGTGCATTTTGGTTCTTCCCCATTGGCTTTGACAGTTGTGTGTTCAAATAAGACCTGTAAATAGCAAGTGGTGTTGTGGCTGGGATATTTTTACCGGCATGCCCTCTCACTGCGCATCTATGCTGGTAAATTTGTTCTTGTGCATCGCATTTTGTTATTCTTTAGATTATATGGTTGTATTAGAGTAGCAAACATATTATTAGATGCTACATTTGCACCTCACAATTTTATCATATGCTTTTTTTTTTTTTTAATCTATTGTGATATTAAAAAATTGATCATTTTTTTTTGCTAATTTTCTTTTGCTACATTTGCACCCCACAATTTTATCATATGCTTTTTTTTTTTTTTTAATCTATTGTGATATTAAAAAATTGATCATTTTTTTTTGCTAATTTTCTTTTACAGACTGTGTGCTTGATTGGGGTTGTTGAGAGGTATAAGGAGCTGGCCAAGTACAATCTGAGGCAGCTCACATCATCCCATCCATAGGCCTTACCACATTTTCTCTCTTGAGTTCAGATATTTGAAAATCTAGTTTGCTTTTATTTTTGCTGTCTTGTTATCGTTTAAGAATTTGCGAAAGTTCCAAGTTTGAAGATGTTTTAATTTAAAAGCTGAGGTTTTCAATGAAGTTCGGTATCATATATCTCCACTTTTTCGTCCAGTAAAAAAATTTATTACGTATAATTTTTTTTTTCTATTATTTTTTGTTAGGATATTGTTTCAATCTACGTTTACATATCATACAAATCAAAATCAATGACAGGTGAATTTGGCTATGGTAGCGTAGCCTTATCCGTCAATTAGGTATAGTGAACTTCTGATCATTCCTTCAATTGCAATCTATAGAGGAAGGCATATGAGGTCCACACACATGCCGATGTCCGTGTCTCGTTCCTATCATTTCACCTTTTTGTTACATGCGGATTTACTTCTCCATCTGAGATCTATGATATTTTTATTGTTTTAATACATCTTCTTACTAAAGAAATGCGACCTATAGAGAGTGATATTCTGATCATTCCCTTAATTGCAATCTATATGGCTTGAAGTGGCAGCAGCGCATTGGGGTGCCCGCCTCTCTACCCATCATCCAAAAGCAGTTCTCTCGATCTGATTGGAAATTAGTGGGTTTGATTGATAACTTATTGGTTTATGCGGGTTGGACAGCAAAACTAGGGAGAATGGGTTTTCTGTGATTATGTTTTTTTACTCTTCATTTCCAGAGGCACACAAGAAAAACAAACAATTGGGAAAAAAAAAATCAGCCTTTAATTCTTCTCAGTTCAAACGCTACTATTTTAGTACCAACTATTTTAAAACACAAATAGCAGCAACTCCTTTTTCCTTCAAGAGGCAATCACAGGTGTAATTGAAAAAAAAGCATGCTGAAACAATCTCATTCGACCACTCCAAAGAAGAAAGTGTGTGCATTATTACAACTTCAAAGCTAGGGAATAGGCTTGTACAACTTCTCCACCATCTTCCTGTATTCTGCAAGGGACAGATTTTAGACTTTATGATACAAGTTCACACTGAGAGAGAGAGAGAGAGAGAGAGAGAGAGAGAGAGAGAGAGAGAGAGAGAGGGAGAGAGAATCTGTAGATCTAACACATACCTTCTTGGTTGCTCCAGAGTGATGCTGCTTGTGTATTTAGAGGCGAGCTTGTGTTTGGTTCTACAACATAACAACCAAAAGGAACCACATGAGGATGAGGATGAAAGAAGTCAAAAAATGATGCTCTAAAGTAGAATATGTAGTCCAAAATTTTGCTCAACAAATGGAAGAGCTAAATTGATGTTGAATAAAGAAGCATATTTTTACCTCCAAGAAGACTCTGAATTGAGAGCAGTATGGTCCTAACATCATAGGCAGATGACCATTTATCCTACAAGTTCAAAATTATGACAAGAAACTGTATAAGCTTAAAAGTTAAAACGTAGCCAAATCAATTCTATTACATGCAAAGAGCGCGCTAACACGATGATCACCTGAAGGATGTCCAAGCATATGTTCCCATAGACATCGACATTGGGATGGAAGCAACCGGTTTCAAATTTCACCTTTGGAGGCTTAAATGGATAGTCTGTTGGAAACGAGAAAGACAATTTGTAGTCTGTCCCTTCAAAGACTGTATCTTTGCTTCCAGTAATTGTTCCTTTCCAGCAGAATATGTTGTCTTCCTCAGGAAAAGCAGAGATCCCAGAATCACCACCCATCTGAACATCAAGAAACCAAACAGAAGTAAAACACCTATTGTACTTCATATCAAAGAAACTTTGAACTAAATAAAAATAAATAAATACCCCATCATGCATCGAAAAAAATATGTTCTTACCATTAGGGCCATCAGTTCTGATTGCAGCCTGTTGTATGAAAAAAAAAAAAAAGCAAGCAATTTAGAAACCGCAGAAATCAGGAATTCTGAACCATCCAAGAAATTTAACACATATTTAGTGTACAACCTGTTTTATAAGGTGGGGAACAAAAACCACTATCAGAACCACAACCCTAGAATATGAACTATCAAAACCTAGCTAATCAAATCGAATTTCATCATAGGGAACACAGGCCAATCCAACAAAGACACAAACCAAGAATTTAAAATTCTATCCTGCACATAGAGAGATACCCAATTTAATCTAAGAAAAAAAAACAAAATTCATGATCACTTAGAGAATTTTCAGAGACATACAAAGACACTAAACCAATCAAATTGAAGTTCGGAAACACAATAACCATGTTATCACATTCAAACCCTAGTTAATCACGATGTGTTGGGTCTTTAAATAATACGAAAAAGAGAGAGGCCAACCCAACAAAATCGAGATCAAGAAATCAAGAACCATCATAGTCGAAGGGAAAAAAAAAAGGGCCTACGGGATTGAAATATAAAAACTCGAAAACCAATCGAACCCAAAAATATACCTTTTGAGAACAGATTGGGTATCCACACTCTTTGCGGTGGGCAAAGGCTGCTTTGAGGCAGTCATAGTCGGATTGGTCACCTGCGTGTTGTGGTTATTGTTATTGTTAACTGTAGTCATCTCCTTTATATCTCTCTGTTCTGGTTCAAACAGGACAACGGAGAGGATTTAAATAGATTTGAAGAACACGAAGGCCCAGAGGTTTGAAGATCGCCTACAGAGATAAGTACGATGCCGAGAGAAGCGGAAGAAAGAAGAAAAAAGAGAAATTTACTCTTCTTCTTGAGATAGAGAGAACTGAGAGAGAGGGAGGGGGAGAGAGAGAGAGAGAACTGAGAGAGGGAGCGTGAGGGGGTTGGTTTATATGGCTATTGTCTGTAGCAAAGACGAGATCGTGTAAATTCAATTTTTTTCCCGAACGTTAGAGGAATGCGTTGCGTGGCGACGTTTTCTACAACGGCTAGTTTCCTTAAATTCAAACTAGGGTTTTAGATGGGCCGCATATTGCCGGCCATTGTTGGTTAGGCGGGGGAGATATAAAATTTGAGAAATTTTAAATAGATTTAAAAATTAGATTTATAATTTTAATTATTAAATAGGTAGTGAACATTAATAAATATTGGGATTTATAGTGAAATTAATGGTTGTAATTATCAAATTAAATTTTTAAGTTTATTTTTTAACTTCATGTAGTATTGCTCATAGAATTTAGGACTTTTTAGAGGTCGGTTTATAGTTGTGGACTTCTGAATTAATTAGTTTAAGCATAAATATTTTGGGGTTTAAAGGATTATTAAAGACGTAAAAATTAATTTATTTTTAATGACATAAATAATTGATGAACCCAAATTTAATCGGGCAGACCCAATAAATCAAGTAAGCCTAAATCAGCTAAAATGCAAATCAAACTCAGTTCGTGAATTCGACTCAATCCAAAATTCAAGGAGTCCAAAAAGATTAGAGCACATGGTGAGCAATAATCAAGATTCCCACTCTTGAAGATTAAGATAGTTTTTAATTGTACTTACCTTTTGTAGCTATTCTCCTTGAATGATTAGTGTCTTTATCCTCGTGTCACCGCCTCAACTAAGGCTTGGTGCCTATAAATTGTACACGCTCTCCACATAAGAGGAGCACCTCTCTACGCACCCTTCACATAACTTTTTCTCTCTCCTAGCTATCACTTTTCTCCCATAACCAACATTTGCTCTGTCTATCTCTCACCTTACTTCATTAATAAAGAATTTTCGACCACCATTGTTGTTTTTTGGAGTGGAGTAGAGTAGGTCACTTTGACTGAACTACTATATATTTGTATGTTGACCCAAAATTTTCTTTTTTGCTATTGATTGTTTTATTAATTGTCACATTAATTCTCTTGCATTATTCACTCAACTGTTAATCTTGCATAAGTTTATTTTGTGTATCATCAATAACAATATTACAAAATGGACAATGACAATAAGATAGTGACAGTGATATTGAGACAATAACAAATACAACATAGAACAGTGATATTGAAACAATAATAGTTACAACATAAGACAGTGATATTGAAAAAATAACAGTTATAATGATAGTAAATTTTTATTGTCATTGTCCAAACTTTTCAGAATTAAACAGTAACGTGAATTTTTATTGTCATTGTTTATTGTTACTATCAAAATTCTATGAAATTAAATAGTAACATGAACTAAATAGTCACACAATCACAATGACAATAATAGTGACAAAGATAATGAATTTTGTTGCCATAGTCCGAATTTTAATGTATAAATTTTAAATTTTGTTTGATGCTAACAAAGACAATGACAGTAACAATGATAAAGATGGGTTTTGTTCAATACCACCAAAATTTTATCTAATGCAATCGATCATCACTATTAAAAAATTTGTTGTGTTCAAATAACTTGTATTTGAAATAGGATTTGGATTGTTAAGTTTTTAATGCATTTCATCGAACACCGTTTAGGCATGTCATATAAGCCTAATAGTGATTTCATCCTTCTTGTTGAGTTTCCCAACGTGAAGATCTTAAAGAAATAAGATAGCCTATAATAGTGATTACACAATAATTACATGTATGAGTAAGTGTATAAGGTGTTTTACGCATACTTATACATGTAAATGAATCCAAACAACTTTAAAGACTGTCTGCAAGCATCTTCGAACATTACAAGAACATGACAATAGCTTATCTACGTCAGATTCAAACAATAAAATTTGAGAAACTTGCACTTACACACACGCACACTTGAAAGAGAAAAACAAAGAGAGTAAAAGGAGAGGAAGTTATATCGATGTCGTCGCCGATAATGGAGGATGAGATGACGCCGATAATGGAGGAGAATGACAAAAATAATACTGTAGGACAGAATAGAAAATAAAAAGAAAAAAGAAAAACATTTTATTGGAATTGAATTCTCAATAGGTAAATCCTAATGAATTTAAAATAAGTGAAAATTAGAAGTGAGTTCTCCGAAATGTACTTGTTTAGAGATAAGTCTTGCAAGGAAACTTATAAGGGGCTAAGTTCATGTTTAAAATTATATGTAATGACTTAAGTTCATTTTTTTTTTATCTCAAAAATACCCTTCCTTGAAATAAAGTTAATATTTTCTCTCTCATTTCTATCTATATAAATATATAGGTTAAGAATTTGATTAACATTAAAAATTTCTTTCTCTTATTTATCTATATTTATATATATATATATATATATATATATATATATACTATGACTTTTAATAGTAAAATTCAAATTCATGTTACTATTTTTTTTATTATGTTACTGCTTTTGTTGAGTATGTTACTGTTCATATTACTATTATTTTTTAGCATGTTACTGTTTTTGTTTAGTATGTTACTACTATTATTTTTCTAAATATTAATATTCAATGTTATTATTTTTTTTAAATATTACTTTTTTTTGTATTTGAATTTGAGAGAAATAATTATTGTTATGTATGTTACGGTTTTTGTTTAACATGTTACTATTTTTATTGAACATGTTAATATTTTTGTTAAATATGTTGTTGTTGTTATTTTTTTAAAATATCAATATTGAATGTTTCAATTTTTTTATGTTTAAATGTTACTATTTTTTTGTGTTTAAATGTATTATTTTTTGTATATATATATTCATCTAACCTATATATGGATAAAGGTAGATAAGAGAGAAATTTTTTTTTAATGTTTATCAAATTCTTAACCTATATATGGATATAAATAGATATAAGAAAGAAAATATTTTAATGTTAGTCAAACTCCTAACATTTAAAAGTTTTTAATTTTTAATTTTATTTCACTTCTATAGTGAAGGGATAGTATGATAAAATTGACAAAAAATGGATTTCATAACAAATAAGTTTCATTGACGGACTTAAGTACAAACAAGTTCATATAGTAGGACCGGCCTTCAAATTTCCATTAAAACAATTTTATATGGGCTGAATATATACTACAATTATGAGGCCTTCTTTTGGAGTGGGCCTAAAGCCCATGCTTTGTTAGCCTTGTGCTTGGGCCGGACTTGCTTTGTTTCCCTATGGTGTAGTGTGGCCTAAAATGTAAGTGTGGTCATTAGAGTTTCTATTGTAACCAATACATAGTTACTGTAGAGGTGATGATCAGAATTATCGATTACTAAAAAGTTCACATCATTAACCCTTGCTAGCAATGAGTCTACCACCACCAACAACTTTATGTTTCCGTTGTTCTCTAGGTTATTATCTAAATAAGTTTTATTATTTTTTATTCAGTAGAATTATTTTTTGAAATATATAACCAAACAAATTATGCGAAAAAAAAAACATTAAAATAATTTTTTAAAACTCTTCCAAAAAATAATTTTTTGATATTATGTTTTAAGATAAACCAAACAAGACCTAAAATTCTTCTTTTTGTCTAATGAAGATGAAAAATTTGAGTCTAAGTTATCTTGTCATCGCCGTTGTCCGTATCACTTTGTAATTGAGATAGAAGAAAGTGCTAAATTCGGAGGTCCCATAGGAATGTCCGAGAAAGTTTAAGGTGGACTGTGTGTTTTCTAAGTGAGGTATGTAAACGGATTGTGTACATTTAGTTGAATCGAATTAGCCTTGTGAGGCATAAGGAGGACAAGGTACCACAAGAAACTCACCGCCGATTGCCCATAGCACTATGCCGGTTAATTTTGGAAAAATAGAAATCTCGATGGGTTTGGGTGAAAAATTGGTCAGCAAGATTTTGGTTAAGGACGAACCGAAACTGACTTGGTTTTCGAATTATAAGTCTCAGCTCGTTGTCAGCTTACCTCTCTCTAAGGTTAGCTTTTCTACTTGCCTAAGTGCTAACGAGTGGGTAAATTTTAAATTTCATCTACAACCCTTGACATTTGACAAATTAATATGAGCACACCCTGACATTGCAAAAAATGATACGGGACCCCTTAACATTTATAACTTGTAACAAAAACAAATATTTACTATAAATTATATTATATAAAGATGATATCATTTTATATAGATAAAGTGTATATAATCCGGAGGATATGTTGTAATCGACATCGATTCATCATTTTTTTAACTTCTCTAATTCAAAATAGAACATGAAACTTTGGTTTTATTCGATTCATTTATGTCAGATGGATAAATTTATATATCTAATATGTATACATTAATTTATTAAATCACACAAATACATACTAATACACTAAAGCACATATAAACATGGTGCGCACATGCACACACACAAAAATAATAATACACAAACACATACAAATATAAATAGTAATACACAAAAATACGCACACATTAATATACTAAAAACACACGTGTACACATATCAATACACAAAACATACTCGCAAACTAATGCACAAAAAAAAATAAGCACATATTAATACACTAGAAAACACAAACATACACATATTCATACACTAAAATACACAAACACTAATCAACCAAACAAATACAACACATACTAATGTACCAAAACACACACACACACACATATAGATTAATATATATATCTCACCAAAATACATACATATAAGAACACACACTTATACTTCATATTGCACACACACATACATTAATACACCACAAAAATACACATTGTGAACATAACTGTAGGGGTGTTCACTATATCTCACGAGTAGGAACTATGGTCTTTTGTCTTCTTGTCCGATATTTTGCGGAAGAATTTTTTCTTAACTAACCCTACCCGATTAAGTGTAGTATTCCTACCCGACTTCTGGCCAAATTAATTGGATAGGAAGTCAAGTAGGAAATCGGGTAACACTTTTGTAGTTATTAATTTTTGAATCATTTTAACAATTCAATTAAA